CGTTTACAAGTTATATACAAGTTTATAGTTATAAACGCACTCCAACTCGTGCGATTAACTATACTTATTGTTGGGTATTTTTTGTAACTTTATCCTGATTTTTAGTTCCTGTCAGGCTTTATATCGCCTACATTTGTATTTTAAATGCCTAAAATGTATCAAAATAATACATTTTCACCATTCCTGAACCAGATTGTACGTGGATGGATTTTGTTTAAACTTGGTACATACTGACATAGCCGACTGGTGGCCTCGCTGTTCCAAAAAATGGAGTTCATGATCCATATATTCGAGATGCCTGGAGTGACCAAGTTCAAACTTCACACTTACATCAGACATAATATCATTTTTGTCACCATCAAATTCAAAATGGCTGACTGGAGGTCATCTTGTTTAAACAAATTACAGTTACTAAAAAAGACGGTTAGGAAACAAACCATGTTCTTTTCATTGGATGCGTGTCGCGGGTAAACATTTGAAACAAAAGACGTACTAATCTGTGATAAATCATTAACATAAAATGTAGACAGGAAATCACGCAAATATGACGTAATTTTTCCCAGAGCTCATTGCAATCAACAACTGCACACCATTTTGTTGTGTCTGTGTCGATACTTTCAGTAATACTAAAGTGTAAGTTGTTACAGTGAATCCTGACAAAACCTGTCGCTCGGTTTAAACTCAATACAAATTTGCCTGTCTTGTATGGCATTTTCGTTTCTAAAGAAGAAGATCGGCAGAAAACTGAAATAAAAAAAAACAACAAAACATGATCAGAAAAAAAGATGTCAAAGAAAACCATACAAGTATTTATATTTCAGCCATGCAAAAGTTTTAATGAGGAGCCATGATACCACATACATTTTGTTGGAAATAAACAAAATATGCGATAAGATAACTGAAATGACCCGCCCATGCTCTACAAAATGCATGTAAGCAGACCAAATATGCAACAACAGGCAGTTCCAATGAAATTAAGAACGGTTAAAAATGGTTCAAAAAATTGATTTGGCGAAGAGACTGCTAGAAAGTTGTACCGACAGTTCAATGTGTTCAAAAATTGTAGTGTTGACTAAAACCGCATTTAACGGCACGCTGAATATTGCAAAATTTTCCAAAAAACTGAAACAAGGACAGGCAAGAACAATTAAACAGGCATTTTATGAAACTGGCGGAAAATGTTGAATATATTTTCAATGATTTCTACAGCGTCTACAAAAAAAAGTGTTAAGACTTTGACCAAAATGGCCGATACAGTGATGCGAAAGCAAAACGATAAAATGTACTTTAATAAGCCCCCAAATCGCATACAACCGTCATAAGTACGCACAGTAGTATACTAAAAATTCATTTGGTTGTATTTTTTATAATATAATGTATTTTAAAATAATGACTTAGGTGTTAGGCAGATTCACACCTTTTAACAATAGCGTTTCCTAACCGTCTTTTTTAGTAACCGTGAACAAATGCACCTCCACAGAGCCATATCTCACACATACATCTGACATCAGGTCAAATAATCTTGCATCTATAAGACAAACTGAACTGAGACAATATCGTTGATGATGACTTGTTCAGATCAGAATTGAAATGACCGACTGGTTGACTGTTAACTGTTTTCAATTTCTACAATTTCAAATAAGTAACTAGGTTATTTTCTGTGTTTACCATTGTTCTCTGCGTTATATTTCACTGTGTTATCCTCCTCTCATTGGCAGAGTCCTGATCCAACAAGCAATCCTGGCTTGATTGTACCCACAGTTGAAGAGTTAAGCAAGATGGAACAGGCATCTGCTGCCGCATCAGAAGTCACCAACACAGTACTCTCACAAAAGCTTGAACTTGAAGAAAAAGACAGGACAGTTAAAATGTTGCAAAAAGCACTGGTATGTTCTCAACTGTCAACTGTGTTTTAGTCTTTATCATGTAGATACCATGTCAATACTATGTTTTTATTGTGCTATACACGCTTTTTGTTTGAGACATCTCCTCTGTAGTACAGGGACTGTTTGCTTCATCAATATTACTTGAAAGGCGCATGGCACTTTTTTAATTGTATTTTATGTCTCTGAGTCTTACATATGAGTATGAAAAGACAGGTCCACTGGTTTTCATGTAAAATACCCTGCTGTAATGTAGACATGTAGTGATTAGAGAATGTATTTTATTCATTTTTTCAGTGAACTAATATGTTTATAAAGCTATTTGTGCAATGTACACATTGCTTTGTTTTATGTCTTGCTTACTGAGTAAGTCAATATTTATGTTGGTCACACTGCCTTGTCCTGTCTTGCTGTCAGTGAGCTTATTTATGTAGACATATTGCCTTGTCTTGTCTTGCTGTCAGTGAGCTTATTTATGTAGACATATTGTCTTGTCTTGTCTTGCTGTCAGTGAGCTTATTTATGTAGACATATTGCCTTGTCTTGTCTTGCTGTCAGTGAGCTTATTTATGTAGACATATTGTCTTGTCCTGTCTTGCTGTCAGTGAGCTTATTTATGTAGACATATTGCCTTGTCTTGTCTTGCTGTCAGTGAGCTTATTTATGTAGACATATTGCCTTGTCTTGTCTTGCTGTCAGTGAGCTTATTTATGTAGACATATTGTCTTGTCTTGTCTTGCTGTCAGTGAGCTTATTTATGTAGACATATTGTCTTGTCTTGTCTTGCTGTCAGTGAGCTTATTTATGTAGACATATTGCCTTGTCCTGTCTTGCTGTCAGTGAGCTTATTTATGTAGACATATTGCCTTGTCTTGTCTTGCTGTCAGTGAGCTTATTTATGTAGACATATTGTCTTGTCTTGTCTTGCTGTCAGTGAGCTTATTTATGTAGACATATTGCCTTGTCTTGTCTTGCTGTCAGTGAGCTTATTTATGTAGACATATTGCCTTGTCTTGTCTTGCTGTCAGTGAGCTTATTTATGTAGACATATTGCCTTGTCTTGTGTTTCATTTAGAATCAGCAGCGTGAGCTGACAGTCAGGCATGCCAAAGAACAAGACAAAGAAATGAAACAACGACTAAAACTACAAAAAGAAGAATATGAAACAGGAATGAAAAGGCATTTATCATTTATTGACCAGGTAAATTATTATATGTATAATTCATCAGCCTACTTCCTTCTCTGCTAATGTCATATATATCATCCAATGAAGCTGTGAGAGTGCTCTATGATG